AATGTCAGTTCATATTTCAGGTTTTATTCAACCTTGGCTTTAGAGATGAGCTTTGGAATTTATTTTTTTTTATTTTCTTCACCTGGTAGAAATATTTGTTTGGAAGAAGGACTTTTGTAATACTGGGTTCATATAGGAAACATCAGGGATTTCAGCAGGATTAGTAAAGGTTTCATGCATTTTTCCTTTTCAGCACATCACACAGCTTAACAACAGCATCCATATTCATGTAAACTGAATTTTCTTTCAGGTGATGTCAGTCCTAATGAACACCATCATCTTTGGAGACTGAAAAAAACAATGGTCTGTGTCAAGACTGCTGCTTGGACTCACAGTTCTTAATGAGAAAGTGAATGTTTAGGAAATTCCACCAGATCACATGCCAAAATAGTAAAAATAATTAGTTCACGTAGAACAGAGCTGCCTGCTGCACTTCCAATTGCCCATCTCTGTCCTTGGGCCCTTGCTGCATTATGGTCACATTAGGAATGAAGAGTCGATTTCAGCTTATGCACTCTTTAAGTACCTCGCAGATTGTTCACAGAGGTTGAGTGGCTCCATTTTAATGAAAAATCCTCTCAAACTTTTACCCCAACTTTTACACCCAACCTCAGATCATGCAAGGATATAATTAGCCTTTTCCTAATAAACTTTGTTTTCACATTTCCAGAATTAAGCAGAAGTTATTCAAACTCATCAGGCTTTTAGATAGAAAGATGAAACAACAACACCGTGAAAATCACATCGGAAAAATTGCTTCCTAGAAAAACAGTTAATCAATTTCTTTCTCTGAATGGTTTCCCAGGAACAACTGGCTTTGGGGGGTATTATCTGAGTGCTCACACTTGACTACTGGCATTGATTGCAATTTGGGTTGTGTGCATCTGTGTCAGACTCTGTAAACCAGGAAACAGGCTGCAATTTGCCCTTTCTATAAAATCTGAAACTGTGAATTTGGATGTGCCCATCACATTTCCCTGGTGACTTACCAGTGATGTTGTTGTCTGGGATGGGAGCCCTCTGAGGGAGTGCCTGTGCTTTGATCCAAATGTGTGCATTTTTTGTGTGGCGAGGGGTTGTTTCCAAGAATATTGACCTGTTGTCTGTGCCTTTCTGCAGAGCTGGCTCTAACTTTATTCTGAATTGCTTTATCTCCTGGGCAGTCGCAAGCCTCAGTGTATTACTGCTTTGGAGAATGAATTGTCTATACAATAAGAGGGCGCTGGAAAAAAAATCAGACACTAAGATTAGCAGCAACTGCATACATTAAAATTCAAACTGAAATCCCAGCCATGGAAGGAAACTAATAGAAGAAGAAAATATATCAAGAAGAGAAGCGCTGTCTCATCATTCACCTGTGCTGAAGGATCCAATTTTAGCCATATCCAACAGCAATGTCATTCATCTTCTTGGTGTGTTACTGTGATTTAAATCCAAGCTCTATAAGAGAGAGCAGTTCTTTTAAAATGATTGAGAGGGAATAAGGGTAAATTCAGTGTTTAGGAAAACTTTATGACATCACAATATTATACTTTACAGATGGAAGCAATATTTTCTACTTTGGAAGGAAAACTAATCATTTTCTATCTGCTCTGAGTCACTGCATCATTATAAAAGTGGGATATAAGTAGTTTTGTGCATTCCCAATCTTGTTCAAGACGACACTTTTGTTTATATAATGCTTCTGATTTATAGCGCTTAAGGATTAGCCTGACTACATATTAATTATATGGTTTTGATGCTTCAATATAAGAAGAAATTAAATATTTCACTTGAAGATAAAACCATGGAGCTGTAAATCATAAGGAATAAATTTGTGACTGTCAGAATATTCTTTCTACTGAAATTATACTAGTTCTAATGATTATGTGTTTTGCTTAGCAGACATGGATATGTATAAGCACCTTTACTTAGGAACAAGTCTTATATTTCTTTTGGAAGGGTGACGAACAGGAAATAGGATTTGCAATATTTGTATTGCCCTTTTTGCATGAAGGTTATTTATTTCACTTTGAGAAAAAGTAGGACACACTCTTACATATAACTGTAAGAGTCATCTTTGCTTGGCTCATTCCAGTGCACTGCTGATTTATTTATTGGGAATGGGTTCCTTTACTTCAGGTGGGGTCTCTGTCTCTGCAGTTCTTGGGAAAAGGCAAGCATGCAAGTTACCAGGTTTTACTGCTTGCTCCATTCTTCTTTTGTTTTAATGAGATCTTCTTTGCCCATAATTGGTGTCAAAGGGAAGGCAGCATGTTTACTCAGGGTCTCAGAAAAATTTGGATCAATACCTGCCCGCACCAATAGGGCTAGTTATGCCAAAATGGGAATCATGCCCACAGTGCACCCTACAGCAGCACCACGCTCCTGAGGCAGCAGGAGCTTAGTATGGACTGGTGTATTTACAAACCCCAGGGCTCAGAACAGCTCCATGGTGCTGGTACACGGATGCCATGGGATGCTGTGATCAGGAAGGGGATGCAGAGATGTGATTCTTTGCTGTTGCCTGTAGATGCTGTTAATGCTTTCCATTGTGAGGTTGAATGAAATTCTTAGAGTGCCTCTTTGCTAAAAATAACTTGTGGACACTGGCCAAGGTCTCAGGGTTGTGGCCTCCTCTAGTCTGGATTTCGTGTTGGTCACTGTGTTTGATGTTTGGGGATTGGCGTTTGAAGTTTGGTGGTTTTTTGGTGTTTGGGGTTTGGTGTTTGTTTGGTGTTTGGGGTTTGGGGTTTGGGGTTTGCAGTTTGGTGCAGGCAGGTCCTGCATCCTTCACACCTGCTCCCAGGGGATGTTCAGAGTGGTTTGAGTGTTCCAGGACCCAGCTGTGATCAGCTGACGCCTCTGCTCCCAGTGCTGCTGCAGGAGCAGCAAAAATGGCATCACAGGGTGTTAGTGGTGTGAGGGAACTCTGCTGGGGGCATGAAATTTGCCAAGGAGACATGAAAACAAAAACTCCCTCCACAGCTGTGGAGTTGTCGGGGCTTAGGCCTAGTGTTACAGTTTTATTACTTTTTCTTTCACCATCCCATATTTTTGCCCATGTACAGGACAACAGTAATTTTGATGGTAATGATGTGTGTTTCATTTGGGATTTGTTTAAGATTTAAACAGGTTTAAACCTTTTAAAGGTTTTTTAAAAACCTGGCAAACAAATCCCAGACTTCCCAGACTTGACTTCTGTGCTTTCTGACACTGTGTGACACCCTACAGGTTATATTAACTTCAAAAGTCTACTAAATTTTGCATACTAAAAGCTTATTCTCAGCCTGCCTTTAACATGTTCTCTTGTTACACACCTGAAATTTGTGGAATACAGGCAATATTCCTGTGGAGTCCAATATCAGACTGCTCAGGAACCTTGTCAGGTATGTGGACACAGGATCATCAGAATGGTTCATTTTCCTCTGAATAATTGTCTGTATAAGAGCTTATCCCAGGGATGTGCTGATGCCCAGGGCCATGACTGAGGCTGTGACTGACACAGACAAGGTAATAAAGGCTGAACAGGGTTATTTGACTTGCTTGGCTGTGGTAGCAGCATTACAGTCCCCTCCTCTTCCGTATTGCTAAGCTAAACCAACATTCTTGTGGGATGCTAAAAAGTTCTGCTTTTAGTAGCCTCTAGCTGTGCCAGAATATGATGGTAATAGAAATACAGGAAGTGATGCAGATGACTGAGCTTCTCAAGAGCCCACAGCAGAGGACCCAAACTGGCACCACCCTGAAAAGGCTTGAAAAGTATTCGAGGATGCTGCTGCCACCTCTCCAGGGTGTGTTGGAACTGGTTAGGGGCCAACACCCACTGCTGGCCCCACTTCACCCCTGCCCTGGTGGCTGTTAGTTTTTCTGTGAAGCAGGGGGCTCCTTTTAACTGCAAATGTTTAAAACTGAGCAGAAATCAATTTCCATTAGTAAGGAAATAAGCACAAACATTAAAAAATAGGAATAGAATAAAGAATAACTTGCTAATTGCATCCTGTACCTCCACACAAGCCCCAGCTCACCACACTGCTGCCAGACATCCCCGTGCAGTGGAGGCAGGCAGGATTATTGCCTCTGATCCAGCAAAGAGACCTTTGCCTAGATCCCATCCGTTTGCAGGCACCTGTCCCCACAGTCTTGTGCAGGAAGGAGCCCTCAGGAGCTGTTTTGGGGAGTCTTTATTAGCTTGGCTGTTTTGAGCCAGCAGAGCCTGACACAATCACAGCAAAGAGCATGGAGGCAACAGACAAAGAACAGTTGAAAAACTCTAAATGTGGAGTGCAGACACATCTGATATTTTAAATCATTTCTGTGTGGGTTCTGGATTGTTTTGGTATTTGGGTTTTTAAAAAATAGAATCACAGAATGGTTTGGGTTGGAAGGGACCTTAAAGATGAGCCAGCTCCAGCCTCATTGCTGTGGGCAGGAGCACCTGTCAGGAGACCAAATACACAATTTGGGTTGGGACAAAGGGAATTAAGCTGCTCATTCCAGGTGAGGAGCTCATGTTTGGGCTGCGTGCAGGCTCTGGGGGTGTCCTTCAGTCTCGGGTGATGTCACCAGACAGATTTCACGTCCTGCCCCGCAGGTGGTGAGCTGCTGGGGGGTTTGTGTGCTTGTGCTGTGCCAGATGGGTCTGGTGTCACCTTTCAGCAGGCCAGGCTGGCCTCTGACACCTGTCCGGAGGGGAGAAGGTGGGGCTGGCCTCGATGGCACATCCCAAGGAGCCCTTTACTGGAGGCTGGGGAGGAGGGACATTTCTGAGCCACATGAGACGGAAAGGTTCTGTCTGCAGTCATTTCTCTGCTGGCTCTCAAATGTTTCACACATTGCTACGCCCAGACTGACATGTTACAGAACTGGCTCTTGAGGGCACCTGGTGATTCTGTTGGTGAGTCTTCCTGTGGTTTTCCCTCAATTGAATACACATTATAGCTATTATTTTTACCTCCTCTCACAATGTATGTCCCATGTCAGGTCTCCTTTAACCAAATGTTTGGTGTTTGCTTTTCCAGGTCACTCAGAGCCTGCTGGAGAGATGTGGCCAAAGCTCTGCACTGCAGAGGGGCCTCCAATCCCAAGGGCGTGGATATGGTTTGACAAGGGCTTTGGAAACAGAGGACTGACCATACCATCTTGGAAGGCACTGGGACCCTGTTATATTGTTAGAGAGATTTTTATTTTTTTTTACCCTTGTGAAAACTATTTTTAAGATATTTTCTGCATTTTTCTATCTCTAGACTAAATGTAAGAATTTATAATACTGAAATCAGTGGAAAACCAGCCTTAGTTTGAAGAATGTTTCCAGCCTTTCTCATCAAAATTTATAATCCTGTTGTTTTAGCTTTATTAAACAGTGTAAAAACAGTGTATAACCAGAGAAAAAAAGGATATGTGTTCCTTCTGAATTCATGTCAGTTAATGACTCTCAGTTCTGTACATAATAGTAAATAGAATCTCATCAGTTCAAACCTCCAAGCTCATTCTTGAGGACGTATTTATTTGAAAAGGAGATGAAAGCCAGTACAAACTTTATATGACACCTTTTCAAACTAATAAAATTACTATTTTTATACAAAATGTTCTATATTTCTTTGCAGCACAGATGGTTAATGACAATGAGGACTGCAAAGAAGGCTGAAAATAAGCATTTAGAGGCTACAAGTATAGCAGGAAAATTGAATGTTGCAAAGAGTGAAATAAGAGATGATGGAGCAAGACTTAGTGAAGTACTGATGGTGTTATTTCTCAAGTACACATTTTCCAGGTCTTTAGAAACAGGAAAAAAGGAACCACAGAAGAAAATGAAGGTTAAAACCCTTTACAAAGAATAAAGTTTATCCAAAACTGCAGAAAAAAGAAAGAGACACTGGGAGCAGTGGGTATCCTATGCTGGGCAGGAGGGGCTCTACTGGTTGGGGGCGTGCAAAATGAATTGAAGGAAGATCTAATAAAAATCAGAACTGCTTAAGCCATAACTCAGTTTATTATGTGGAAAAGCTATTATGTGCAATTACAAACTTGCTTGGGGATTGAGTTGGGTTTTCCATTATTTACCTAAGGAAAAAAAATTCACATATTTGTCATGTTTGCTGACATTTGTGAATTCAATAACATTTCACCACTTCTTAGATAAGAATGGGCATTATTAATTGTGGCCAACAAGGAGAAAAAGTTCACACCTGTATTTCTTACAGGGCTTTTCCAGTTTTCGTCTTTGCAATTATTACAATTCTGCACATTTTCAAATGGCAGAAAGTACATCTGGAAGGAAGATGTTTTGTCAGTTTGCTGTTCACATTTGAGCTCAGCTCAAGAACGGATTTCAGCCAAAGGCTCTGAGCTACAGGAATGCTGAGCACCTGAGGAGCAATCCATCGGGGTAAAGTGATGCATGGAGGCTACAGAAATCCATGGAGGTTAAAATCCATGGAAGCTACAGTAATCCATGGAGACTACAAAAACCCATGCATCGCGTATAATGCCTTATGCATTTTTTGAAAAGACATAATTGCCTTAAGGGCTTTGGAATTTTTTTCTCCTTTAAAAATAGTGGAAACAACGGAATGGGAAATATCAATGGGAGATGCTGCTCAGAGCCCAAGTAATTTCCTCACAAAGAACCAACATGAGCCTGTCTAGTAATGCAAAGAGTTGGGGACTGTAAAATAGGGCTGGTTCTCCCCCAGATGTGTTTTATATCCTCAGAGAGCAACGCATGGCCTGCTGAGGTTCAGGTGAGCGTCCGTCCCTGTGTGAGTCTGAGCAAAGCCTGGAGCTTGCCCTGGCTGGGGCAGGCACGGGCAGCACTGGGCTGAGCACACTTCGAATACTGGGCCCTGCTTGCAAAGGAGGCTGTGAAGAGCTCAGCCCCAGCACATGCACACCTTACAGAGTAATTCCTTGGCTTCATTAATGTTTTATTGCACAACGAGTTTACGATGACAGCAAACCTCTCAAACTGCAGCGGGATAACACGCTTCCTCACCGTATTAAAAAATAATGTTGGTATAGGTTTTATGTACCAGGGTATAGACTGCTGTTAAGAGGCACTGCTTTGACAAAATTCTTTTTGAGGTTTACAGAAAGCATAATAAAATATGTAAGTTACATTTCTACAAACAAAAGCTATAACATAAGTTATTTATAAGCATGAGATACAAATGGTATCACAATAAATAAACCTTAATGGATACCTGTGGCATCCATCCTAATGTAATTTTCCCAGCAAAAGTCATATTTAGTATAAAAACCTGGCAGCAGCTGCGTGTTGGTATTTAAAATAGGAATGAAAGAGGGAAGGAAGCGGCTGCTTCCCCAGGCTTGTCCCCAACCTGTGGTACCTCCCTGCCTTCCCCCTCACCTGGGGCTGGTGCTGGTGCACCCAGAGACCAGATGTCTCTGCGTCTTTCAGGGCTTGCCCACGATAATAGGATGTTCCCTGACAGCTTCACTACAGCCTGATTTTATTAAGGGTGGCAGAAAGAAATGGAGTCCCATCTGCCCGTCATCCTCTGTACTCTGCCCTTTCAGGGGTAGCTCCTTCCCCAGCACCTCCCTTGAACCCTCTTCTTCTCACCTAGTCACAGCCATTTGTGGAACAATGCATGGATTCTGAACTGAAATAAAGTTTTGGCTTTTTAAATATCACTATTAAGGTTACCAACCCCACAAAGATGTGTTTTGGAACAGGCATTGAAACCACTAAGGAATGTTCATTTGTCAGAGGCTTTAGAACCCATTAGCATTGGCTCTCTGTGTGGGGCTGAACTGCTTCCACCCACTGGGACATGAGGACAGAGAGTTTTACTGGAGCCTGTGTGTCTGGACCCTTGGGCAGGGCTTATGGGGCAGGTGTCCTGATCTCCTCCATCCTGGAGTATAGGGAATATCCCTTGTTCTGATGGGGAAAAGGCTGCTGAGGGCAGAGCTCCACAACCCTGCCCTCCCCTCAGCCTTCGTGGGGTGAGGAGAGGCAGGAGGGGCACAGACCTCCAAACCCAAAGGAAGGGGCAGAGGGGAATGACCTTTGGCTCTGCAGCATTGGAGCTCTTCCCTCAGAAAAAGAACATCTGATTTAACCCTTGTGGGCTGACAAAAGAAAAGGGGTTTTTTGTCAGCTCTGCTGAGCACCAGGAGCTGAGAGCCTGAGCCCAGGACTGCCCCATGGGAGCTCAGCCACAGGCTGGCACCCATCACTGGCACGGAGCAGCCAGGCCCTGCTCTGTCCTGGGACCTGTTGGCCACAATGGGCCCCACCCAGGGGGGCTCATCACTGACCACGAGGATCCACAGGGTCTCACTGAGCCCCGCAGAGGTACAAGGGTCAGGAGCACATCCCCCTTCAGTGCACAAACCTCAGCCCTTGCCTGCCACTGCCCTCCACAGCTGGGCACATCTGGCTACAGACAGAGTTCAGGCAGCACGTAAGCAGCTCCTGGCTGTCCCGTTCCCCTTCCCCTGCTCATGACGGGGCACAGATCATACATGTGATGAGCACCAGCATCACCCAGCAGCTCCACAGGAATCTTTCAGGGCTACAGCTGAAAAGCAACGTGTGTCCTCTGTCGTGCTGAATTCCACAAGTTGTGTAATCACTCCAAACCATGTTGGGTTTATGCAGCAATATCCATCCAGAAAAAGCTGTGGAGAACAGGACTGGCCTTGCCCAGCCTGAGACCCACTGCCAAAGACAGGAGCTACAGCAGGAGCATGTCAGCATCTGCTGCTGCTGCTTCCTGGTGCAGGGGGTTATTTGCAGTGCTCATGACGTGGTGTGGTTATCTCATGCTACAGGAAGCACTTTTTAAAAGCTGAATGGTGGCATTGGCCACTGTCAGGCGCATGGTGGGTGTCCTGCAAGGACAAGGGTCCTGCCAGGACATGGTGCTGCAAGGACACCCTCCCTCTAAGGCCTTCATTGTTCTGATCCTGAGGCTGAGGAATGCCTGTGCACACCATTACCAAACCTAGTGACCATGGCAGGCTGTAGTACATCCCCTTCTTGTCACCTCCATGGCAGCCAGGCCTGGGAGCAGCTCTGGGTTTCAGGCACGAGTGACACAGTGCCACATCTCTGTCCCCAGTGACTCCCAGTGACAGACTGGACAGGGGGGCCAGGGAGGTGGTCACTCCTCTTCCACAGCTTTAGTTGCTTTTCTCCCTGCTTAACTCTGTCCCCTCATACCTTTGCAGGTGACTGGGAGCAGTGCTCTCCAGACCTGCTCAGTCCCTGTGCCCAGGCATCCTGGCAGAGCTGGCTTGGCCACAGGCTCCCTTGACAGGCCCAGGAGCTGTGCCCCAGCATGACAGGGCTGCACCGTGTTCCTCTCTGCCAGCATCATGCACTTGGCTACACATCTTAGTTAATACCTGTAAAAGGTTACCTGAAAGTATGAAAGCAGAATTTCACAGGGAATGACAATACCACAACAGCCTTCCCACACACCTCCAGAAAACTCTCCCTTCCCAGTCCTCTCCTGCCTGCATGGCTCCAGTGGCCACCCGCTGGTGCTGTCCAGCACTGTCCCCCTGGTGCTGTCCAGCCCTCGCTGCCCGTGTGCTGGGTTAGAGGCAGCTGCAGCTGCCTGCTCATAGCTGGCACTGCCAGGCTGGGCTCCTGGCACACCCTGCCTCCCTGTGCCGTGGCAGGCAAAGCCCACGGGCTGTGCTGTGCTATTCTGTGCCGCTCCATGCAAAGGCCGTGCCATGCTGTGCCAAGGCCATGCCATGCCGTGCCATACTTTGCTGTGCCATGCCTGGGGCCTGGGCAGACCCCAGCTGGGTGTGGGGTCTCTGTGACGGGAAGCTGCCGGTGCCCTGTGCCTGCCCGGGGGTCCTGCTGCCTCTCAGTGCCCGGTAGAGGCAGCCCTGAGCTGGCTCCGGTCCCCGATGGGGCGCAGAGCAGCCCGGGTTCGGTGGGCACTGCCAGTCCCGCAGCAGCAGCACCGCGCAGGTCCCGGCAGCAGCGCGGGGCGCGGGGGGAGCCCGCACGGAGCGCGGGAGCGCTGCGGCCGGAGCAGCGAGCGGAACGAAGGAACCGCGGGGCTGTGCGGGGCTGTGCGGTGTGTGCGGGGCTGTGTGGCCTGTGCGGGGCTCTGCGGCGTGTGCGGGGCTGTGCGGAGCTCTTCAGCGGGATGCGGGACAGTGCCGGGCTCCGCGCGGCTGCGCGGGTTTATGCGGGGCTGCGCGGGTTATGCGGGGCTGCGCGGGTTTATGCGGGGCTGCGCGGGTTATGCGGGGCTGCGCGGGTTTATGCGGGGCTGCGCGGAGCTCTGCGCGGGCTCTGCGCGCCACCCGCCCGCCAGGGAAACGGCGCGGCGGCGGGAGAGCTGCATTTAAGGATACCATAGGTCCGGGGTTATTAATTATAAAACGTAATTAAAGTAAAACTACAGAACGTCAACATATTAAATTTAAAAGCTAATATTAAAATAGCGTTAATATTTAATAAGGTAGCTGAGCGTTACAGGGCTGTACGCTGATACTCTATATTTAACTGTGTAAAACCAGGAGAGTTTTCCCAAAGAAAAATGTATTGTTTAGCTGATTATCAAAGACTCTGTGATATATTATCCATTTCACAAAAATAATATAGATATCTTTTTAAATATAGTAATAAAAACATACTAGTGCCTTTTAAATATACTATTACTTACCACCCCTTTTCATATTGTACTATCACAGACACTTTGGAATTGGTTTAAAAGCACATCATTCATTATTCAAAGCTCATCTTTGCATATTATTCCAGCTCAAGTCTGCCAGGCTCCCTGTGAAATCGTTCACAAAATTGATAACAGCAGACACACACGCAATAAAAAGATCGCCTTGGGCAGCTCGAGCTCCCATTATGCAGATCGAGCTGCAATTTTCTCTAACAAAGCCTGCCCTGATCCAGGACTGGGTGGCACTTTATTTATTTATTTATTTATTTATTTATTTATTTATTTATTTATCCTCCACTGGTTGCCTTTTTTTCCTTCTTCTTCTTTTTTTTTTTTTCCTTTCCTTTTTCCCCCTCTCCTTTTCCTTTCTGCCCCCGCCCCGTGGCCCCGTCGCCTCCCGCCCGCCCCGCCGGGCCGCCCGGAGCGGGGCCCGAGGGCGCTGCGGCCGCGGCCTCTCCGGCGGGGCTGTGCGGGCCCGCAGCAGCTTGCGGGATGGCCTCAATCGGATTAGCTCCGCTCCGGGGAGAGGCGGCTGATGGCGACTCCTCTGCCACCGCACCGAGCGGGGACAATCCGATTAGGGCCGCCCGGGGCCGGGGGTGGCATCCGGCGGTCCCGGCGGGGGGTTGGGCATTTACTGGTCGCGTTAATGAACGCCAGGCGAAGCGAGACCGGTGTCTCTCGGTGCCGCGAGCCGCGGACGCACTCTCGACGGCCGGGGCCGGGCTGCGCCTCCGTTAGCGCCCGTGCCGCGGAGCTCCGAGCGGCACCTTCGCCGCGGCCGTCGGAGCCCGTCGGGGCCGGCACCTGCTCGGACCCCTGCGGAGCACGGGCATCTCAGAAAGGCGCAGCGCTCCCCGCTTTTGCCGTGGGACGCCGCGGGAGCAGAGCCGCACGGAGCGGGGCCCGCAGGTGCCGCCGGGGAGCTCCGAGCGCGGCGCCCGTGCCCGGCACGTCCGTCCCGCTCGCTGCCGCTGCCGGCGAAACGATTGGGAACGTTGCGGTAATTGAATAGTAAGGTTTAAAAACTAATCAAGTCCTTCCTGTCACCGCTCCGGCATGCCGGGCTCGCCCTGCCAGGTGCTGATCAAATGCCATTACATTCTATTAACAGGGAAATTCTATTCCCTGTTTTCATTTCCCTTTATAAGAGGGAACTAAGTAAATGCGCTGAGCGTTATTTAATTGTTAACGCCTTGAGTCCCGTTCGGCCATCAGGGACCGGCTGCCAACGCACTCGGCGACCACGCCGGGCTCTGCGAATTAAACCCAAACGGAATCTCGCCCTGTAGGTCCCCGGCCGCCCCCCAGTCCGGCCCCGGGCACGGCCTCGACCCGCCGCTCCGCACCGCCGTCGGGGCAGGGGCCTGGGCAGCCGCGGGCTGCGGGGACCGAGTCCCGCCTCGCAGGGCGGCCTCGGGCCGTCGGGGCCCGTGGCGGGGCGGGGCCG